AACTATTAGTTTAGTGACAGTATGAAGTTACAATGGCACTGAAAAATTGAGTTATGATTGTTTTTCACACTTACAACCGTTGCACCCTTCCCATTCCCATGTGATGAAAATTCAGACACTTGGAAACCTACTCATATTTTTGATGGCTGCAGTGTCCCGGGGTCATGATGATCACTTTTGTGACCTTCTGACCAGCAAAGTCAATAGGAAAGGAGGAAAAACGCCACTTTATAGCTAGTACAACTAATGATTAAAGATATTTCACTCATTACTGGGAATGAGATCAGGGCAATGACGATTCATTTTGGGGGGAAACAGAAGAATGTAGTCAGGACATGATGTTAAACTGCAATGTAAGCTACTTTTATTAGGTCTGTCAATGCTTGAGAACCATTTGTTTCAGTTCCACAAACTATTCTGAACGAAACGTGCCTCCCTCTTTCAGCAGATCAGCCAGCCAGCTAATGCTGTAAAAATTATTACTAATTTAAAACACATTTTTGGAGTATTTCCAGCAGTGGGAAATATTAAGATTGTTTATTAATCCAGATGATTTAAAAAAGAATCCTATTAACAATACTAATACTATAGAAAAAAAAAACGTGCATCTATGAAGTAGTTGCAAAATCACGCCCTGTCCCAGCATGAAAGGATTACAATCCACAACCTCTTTTGTATGCTTATTTACACGAGAAAGTAGTTTAAGCGGAGTAGACGCTCTTCCTCTTAGGATCACATCCCAAAATTTCAGCTTCCCCTTGCAATTTTTTACGGAGGCAGCAGCTCAGTTTCTACACAGCAGAAATGGTCTCCGTGCACTCATGTTGGGTGGGACAGGATCTTGGGCTCTTGTGAAGCTGTTCATCCACATGCCCATTTGTTAAATAACAGGGGGCCGTGGAGAAGGAAGGTGGGAAAACCGGTGAGAAGCAGGGAAGACAATTCCATTGCTACGTTTATGGTTCATGGCCGCTGCCCCACGGAGCTGGAGGAGCAGTTTTAACTGCCAGTCTCGCACGACGAAGAACCCAGCCCTTCTACCCATTGAAGGCGTGCGCGAGACCCAAGCCTTCCCAAAGGTGCGGCGTCGCCGGTTCCTGGTGAGGCGAGACAGAGCCGCCACCTTCACACAAGCTGCGCGGGGAAGGACTCTCGCTTACGGTCCCATCGCATTTCCTTCTGCGCCTGTGTGCTGAGTTAGGCGAGTCGGGCGTACAGTACAGCAGAACACCTCCAGCACTCCTCTGCCACCTCCCTTGCCTCTTAGCGCCCCCCTGCCCCGCCTTGCCTCTTAGCACCCCCCTAAATCATCCCACCCCCCAGGGGGCGGTACCGCCCACTTTGGGAACCACTGTTCTAGATCTTTAACAGACATGCAAAAGCCACTTGAAGAAGAAATTGCAAAGGATACCCAGGTCTCGAGACATAAAACATCAGGACTGGTCCACAGCCAGTTTTAATCTCAATATTTTATCATTGTTTTTCTTTATTTTTCATATAGGTAACACAGCTGGCAGAAAAATTGAAGAATCAATCAGAAAGTCATAAACAGGCCCTAGAAAATTTGCATGAGCAAGTGCAGGAACAGAAATCCCATTTAAGAGCATCTCAAGATCATGTACTTTCATTGGAAACAACTATCAGTGAGCTACATAATCAGCTAAGTGAAAGTAAAGAAAAAGTAATGCAACTTGATTTGCAGGTGATCTAACTTTGCATTTTTACTTATGTAAAATATAAGGGATAGGAATACTAATTTAATTTTCACAAACCCAGTAACACCTCTCTATTAAGCTAAGCTCCAGAAAGTTTTAAATTTGTAAGCATTGTATACACTGGCTGCATTCGGATATTATGTCACTATTTTATTGTGATGAAACTGCTCTGAGTGAACTTTGGGCTTACATGTTTTTCTCTTGTCTCTATGGCACAGATGTGAGAAGATTATTGAAACCTTTGCTTCCATAGATTTTTATCTAATAGCTCATTGTGGTGGGGACTAAGCAATGATAAATCTTGGTCTTGAGTATCCCCTTTATTATGACTGCAGTTTTTTCATCTCCGTGAGAGTACTGAGAAAATAGTGTATTGAAGATGTTACTTTGCATTATAGTTTTTAAAAGGTATACATAGATACTAGGTTAGAAAAAAATCAGATGGTGGTGTATTCCTGTGGTCTTCTGGAAGGCCAATAGACAAACATATCAAAGCTTTGGACAGGTGTTCAACAAGCTGTTGGAGGGAAGGGGAAATGCCTGTGTATGTAACATCTGTCAACGTCCGAGACAGTGCGCCATTCAAAGTTGCCGCAACGCGCTGTTTCGGAGTTGCCACACACACGGGGGAGGGGGGTGCATAGGGACAAAGATGGGTGTTGGGTGATGGGACTCATGCTGGGAGAGAAGCCAGGAAGGCAAGCCAGCTGCTGTCGGTTCAGAAGCCATCCAGGCCTGAAGAGTACTTGCTGGAGCCAGCCAGGGAGCCAGCCAGGAACAACCGGGAACAGGAGGGTGGGGTGTGCTGAGTCCGTATAGCCAGCTGGCTACCAGAAGTTGGTAATGCTGGCTAGAAACCTTTTACTTGTATTGTTCACCACGTGCCAAGCTGTGACTCCAGTAAAGAGGCCTGTTCTGCTCACAGTGTGGCTTCTTCTTTTGCTGGTTTGGTTTGTAACCGTGATATCATCCCTGCAGAAACGTGGACTTTTAGAAGGGGATCAGACCATTTTGTTACTGGGATAACTTATACCAAAAACATATGCTTCGCATCCTTCTTTGTCCATCTTCTTCCTCTGTCCATTGGGGGAGACACAGAGAAGAGTGACTCCTCTCTTCTGCTACTGGTTCTTTGATCTATAGAAATTGCAGAACTGATAGGAAAAGACCCATTTCTTCCCTTTCTCTTTTCTGTCAAGTGGGTCTTTTTGCTTTTGGGGGAACTGGTACCCCAAAAACTGTTTTCCCTCCTTCTCTCCTTGCTGTGAGTGACAAGGCATAGAAGAGAAATGGGAAAGGAGTTTTTTGTGCACATTGGAAACTTTTTGACTCTCCTGCTGCTAAAAGGTAAATGGCACTGAAAAGCAGTGGCCAAAGACTTGTGGCACATAAAACATGTCCAATAGTTTCAGATGGCCAACTCACCCCTTTAAATTGCTCAGCAAAGTCTGTGCAAGCAAAAGACAGACAATGGGCCAGGATAGGTTGAATTGTCCATATTCTCAATAAATAGTTAATAGGTCTTCTCTATGCCAGGGTGAGCAGGATATACAGATGTGCCATTCAAAAAAGTTTCATAGCTTGATTTAACTATTGGATTACATAGCCTCTTAATCCCTTACAGGTTTCTACTGCAATTGACATCTTTGCTTAGATTTTGGTGGTTTATAAATATGCCTTTGTAAAAATCAATTTAATTTTGTTTGAATTGAGTTTAGAATCAAATATCTGGATGAAATTTTATAGCAATTTAATATACTATGATCAAACAGTAAAGTCAAGCATTTCACAGTCTTTTGCTAAATTATTCATAATTGGTAACACATTTTAGAATATAAATGAATTGTGGTTTTTCAGTCATGTACAATGTTTAATTTCTCTGATTAATTTTGGTTCAATTTTTATAATTTAGTAAGTGTATCACAGCATTATCTGTCCCACTGTCTATATATCTTATCTGTTTATCTGTCTTATCCATTGATAATGCTGTGGTACACTTAGTAAATTGTTCACTCTTGGAAAATCTGAGGTTTTATAAGCTAACTGTGTAATATTATAAATATTAAGTGATTATATTTTAATTCTGTGTCAGGTAAAAGCAAAGACTGAATTGCTTCTGTCAGCGGAGGCAGCAAAAGCTGCTCAGAGAGCAGACCTTCAGAATCATTTGGATACTGCCCAGAATGCATTGCAAGACAAACAGCAGGTGAGAGAAATAGAAAGGACCTATACTATGGCTTCACAATTAAGAAATATTTATTTAAAATAAGGTCAATCTTATGTATCATCATCTAAAATATGTAACTCTGTAATGCTGTTTTTATATTTACCTCAAATAGTCCAAGTGATACATTTAAAATTATAATTTCTAAATAAAATATAAAATGTTGGGGGGGGGATGTTTTTGGGATCTGTAAAAATCTGAATAATGGACATGGTAGTACATGGACACCAGAATAGAAGAGAATAGAAGAGAAAAAAATGAAGAAAAGCACAAAATAAAAATTCCACATATAGAAGTAGAACAAGTAGTGGCAAAATACTACCAATAGTTATAGATGTATCACTAAACTTCTAAACTAAACACCAAAACTTTGGCAGTATTACTTGAACACCATCGGCATTGAAAAGATCCCCATTAGTCAATTACAAAATTACACTTGGAACAGCTTTCATCCTGCACCAATGCCTTTAAAATCACCATGCATTCACACCTGCCTATAACAGGTCCTTTGGGAGGACTGAATTAGTGAATGAAAATGCCAAATGAAGTCTAAACTTCTGGCTGACTATGTGACGAGCCATATTAATTTTGTTTTATATATTGGATGTTTTCAGATGTAAAGTGTTTCTTTTATACTTAAACTAATGTCACTGTATTAGATTGTCTAAAAATGTTTTTTTTAAATTATTGCTAATAGGAATTAACAAAAGTCAGCACTCAATTGGATCAAGTTGCTTCCAAGCTGCATGACAAAGAGGAATATTGTATACAGCTGGACTCCAGTCTTAAAGAGTACAAAGAAAAGCACCTTAATTTAGAGCAAAAAACAGAAGAACTGGAAGATCAGCATAAGGTTTGTATTTATTTCTTTTAGTTCATATTTCAAATTGTGGCTGGTGTCTATATGGAGAGGCAACGAGAAAGATAGAACAGCTGATGCAAAGTATAGTCATTATTAAATATGAAATGAGCAGCTCAATCAGTAACTCATTTCACATAGAAGCAGATAAGGACAGTCAAGAAAAGTCAAATCATTTTTAACTGTGGAAAGTGTGAAAGAAAGATGTAAAGATTCGTGTTTTTCTTATCCTTGCTATAACCCAAAAGCACCAGTTATGTTTTTTGGCCCATAGCAGCAATCTTTGGAGCATAGAAATCACAGAGAATTTTTGCTACACTCTGCTGGTTTCTTTTTGTATGCCTTTTTTCATTTGTCATTTAGAATATGACTAACACAAATTTTTAGAATTATAAAAATTGATGCTTCTCTGCCTAACTTTCTCCATAGAAAAAATTCTGATCATCTAAATCTGTGATGGCGAACCTTTGGCATGCCAGAGGTGTCACACATAGCCCTCTCTACTTGCAATCTCACCGTCGCCCCAGGTCAGATCTCCTCAGCGTTTCTTTCGTGAATTCTTTCGTAAGCTTCTGTTTCCCTGCAAACAATGAAACAAAAATTCATGAAAGAAAAAGATCTTACCTCTTGCCTTGATGCCAGTGTTGGGATGCCCCGCCTCCCGCCGGCCATCTGGTGTTTGGATCTCTGCTATGCATGTGTACATGTCCGGGTTCATGTGCATGTGCATCAGAGATGGTTTTTTTGTTTTTGCTCATGCGCAGAAGCATTTTTTCAGAACTGTGCATGGCTGTGTAGTGTGCATCAATTCGCGGCAGCCGCCGCCAGAACCCACCCCTGGTGCGCATGTCCGTATTTGCACTCGCACGGACCTTTCAGTTTGAGCATGCGTACATGCACAGTTTGGGCAATTGGTGCCTAAAAGGTTTGCCATCACTAATCTAAATCCTTACCAATATGAACCTTAGAACAATGTGAGATTTTTACCTCACTTTCAACTGCACTTTAGAAACAACAGAATGGCAAGAATGTCTTGAGAAATAGAAGAAATAGGATGAAATGGCAAACCTGAGAATGTATAGGACAGCAATGGCGATCCTTTTTTGGCTCGCATGCCATAAGTGAGGGGAGAGCAGTGGGGTCGTGTGCAGGTGTTCCGCACCGATAATGCAATGCGTGACCCCCCCATTTGTGCATGCTTTTTTCACCCTCCCCAGGCTCCAGAGGCTTTATAGGAGCCTGGGGAGGGCGAAAACAGCCTCCTCCGCCCCCCAGGAAGCTCTCCGGAGACTTCAGGGACCTTCAGGAGGCTTCCCTGAAACCTCCAAAGCTGTCAAAACGACCCTCTGAGCAAACCGGAAGTCACTTCCAGTTTGCTCGGAGGGTCGTTTTAAGCGCTCCGAAGGCTTTAGGGACCTTCAGGAGGCTTCCCTGAAGCCTCCGGAGCAGTCAATATGACCCTCTGAGCAAACATTCCCAAACTTCTGGTTTGCCCGTAGGGATGGGTTTTTTTGCGCTCCGGAGGCTGCAGGGAAGCTCATGAAGCCTCCGGAGGGCCTCCAGGGGGGAGGCTCTTTTCGCCCTCCCCAGGCTCCTATAAAGCCTCTGGAGCCTGGGGAGGGCCAAAAATGGCTTTAAAAAAGGGTGAACTCAGCTGGCCAGCGGGCGCATGTGCGCTGGCCAGCTGACAGGGCAGTGCCTCACGTGCCCTGACAAATGGCTCCACATGCCACCTGTGGCATGTGTGCCATAGGTTCGCCATCACTGGTATAGGAGAAGAAAGATGACAAGTATTGTTAAAATAAAGACTAGAAAAAAGGACAATAATGTATTTTAGGCATTGAGAAATAAAGATACATGTACTAAAACAAACAAAGCAAAGTTAATTCAACAATGAATATTGGCAACCATATTTTCTTTGCTTCCTTCCACACTGAGGGTGACTCATCAGGCAGATTCTGTCAACAGAATTGGTGGAGGTTATATTTCTAACAGTCCACTGATCAACAAAAGACTATATTTGTTTTTGTCTGCCTGGATAATCCAACTCAAAACAAACCACAAGGGAGAATATTTGCTTCTAATCCCTTTACCAAAGCAGTTTAAATTGTTCTTTATAATTTTAAGTTTTAAAATTTTTCTGGTGCTAATGATAGGGAAAATATGTGTAATCTCTGAAGTGAAGTGTGGGAGGAGTCACAGCTGGGTATTGCCATGGCCCATCTGCCTGGAGACTGAGGTAAATCTTTCTCTTTCATATTTTATTTTCATTTTCATAACACACACTCACATGTATACTATACTTAGCCAACACCTTACAGCATTAAACAATAATTACATCAGTTCCTCTTGTCAACAATGCCCCAGAAAATAGAAACCCAATATAGCTCTTCCGCTCTCCATACCCCTCTTTCTTCCACCCCCCCCCAACCTTCTAACTTCCCTCCATCATCCCCCTCTACTCTACTTCCCCTCCCCTTCTACCACTCTTCTCTCCACAATCCACTCCCCCCCCATCCTTCTCATCTTCCCC